TTAGCCAGGCAGTGTAGGAGATTTAAAGGACGTTGCAAACTTTAATAGTTTACTACCATACATACTACATGCTGTACATACTCCACTAGTTATATCATCCCAAGTGAGGTACTGCTGAGAGGAAATCATGGCAAAGAAAAGTATAACCACATAAAACAAGCACTTTTTGGTTGTTTCTTAAAGTTTCACACTTTGAAAATTCTGTTTTGTTGTCCGCTAAAATTATTTTTTTTCATAATGACTGGAGCTTAACACATGAGAACTCTTTAAACAGTCCTGTGTGAAGTCTGTGACTCGGGCGGTTGGCGCTTTTGATATGAAAACAAGCTCCCCTGTCAGTCAGCTTCAGGAGCCAAAGGCCTTGTTGTGGTAGTGCTCTTACAGAACCTGCTGTAGAGATCTGTTTTTATTTAACTATAATAAATGCAAAGACAAGTCTTAGAAGCTATGGGGAAAAATAGCACTCCCAAGGATCACAAAATCTTATGTCTACTGACAACACTGGTTATACCTGATTTTTTTTTATTCAAAAATGTCCCTCTTATGCCTTTAAGAACCTTACTTTCTGGCTCAGACTTGTGAGCCATGACAACGTGGCGCAGTTTTGAGAACTTGCTGGCATTCACGTTTGTTTTCCCTTCCTCGGAACTTGCGAAATCGTGTGTTGAAATGTCCCCCAGGTTTGCTTGTTGATGGTTTTGGGCCAGTATTGCTGAGTCACACCATGTGGAATGTGAGCGTTGCTCTGTAACGCTGGGGTAGTCAGTAGTCGTGCTGTTTGGCAAGTTTTTTTTTCTCCATTAGGCAACTCACCCTGTAGTGACACTTGTTTTTTACGGCTTAGATGCACTTTGTTGTGCTATAACAGCTAAACGCTGTCAATCAGTGATTTATATAAACTTCTATGGTTCTGCTTAAAGTCTGCCTCAGATTTACATCATCACCCTGAGACTTAAAAGTTTTATAATTCGGTTTTCCCTCTGAGTGTTTGCCCAGTTATGGGACAGAGCATTCTTACTTTCTCAAATTAACTTTATCCATTTCCATCCACATTAGGTGTATGTTACAATAAGGGACTCTCCAAAGCTGTTTGTTAGAATACAGATAATAATACAGTTATAATCAAATAAGATAAGATCACTTTATTGGCCATATACAGTTTCTTGTATTAGGATTTTGTCTTTTCACATACCCCAGCCTGCTCTCCATGAGACACACAGACAGGAAGAGAAGCTTGGGGTCAGAGCGCAGGGTCAGCCATTTATACAGCGCCCCTGGAGCAGTTGAAGTTAAGGGTCTTAAGGGGCCCAACGGAGAAGGATTCCTCTGCCGGCCGTGGGATACAAACTGTCAACCTTCCAGCCACAAGCGCAGATGCTTGCCACAGTGCCACCGCACTGAGATTTACAGATTTCTTGTGCGTGAGTGCAAGTGCATTGAGCTGTCTTTGAACCACAGCAACTTGCATATCTGTCCATTGGCATAGCTGGATAGTTTTCTGCAGCAATAACCTTCCAGATGCAAGTTATCAAATTCAGACTCCAAGAGCTGTTTTGCCACAGCAGAATTACAGTGTTGCCACAGCAGAGGCAACCAACTGCTTACAGTAAAGTCAGTATGGTACATTTACTTACATCCCATATGACGTTACTTAGAGACAGGCTCGCTGTCTGTTCCTCAGGCTGTGACGGGAGGTCACACACTCAAATTGAGTTTCCCTTAGCCTCGCTTGGTAGGATTGGAAGCAGGTCAGATTCTGGCAGGAGTGGGAGTTTTGGGAGCTAGTTAGGGGCAGATTTGTCCGATGCCGGAGTATTTCTGTATTTCTGTGGAGTATATCCCGTCCGGCCTCTCGTCCTCCGCGCAGGTGGCCACGCAGGAGGAGTTCTTCAACCTGTCCCACTGCCAGCTGGTGACCCTGATCAGCCGGGACGAGCTGAACGTGCGCTGCGAGTCGGAGGTCTTCCACGCCTGCATCGCCTGGGTGAAGTACGACTGCGAGAACCGGCGGCCCTACGTGCAGGCCCTGCTGCAGGCCGTGCGCTGCCACTCCCTCACCCCCCACTTCCTGCAGCTGCAGCTGCAGCGCTGCGAGATCCTGAAGGGCGACTCGCAGTGCAAGGACTACCTGGCGCAGATCTTCCGGGACCTCACCCTGCACAAGCCCACCAAGGTGCTGTCCTGCCGCACCCCCAAGGTGCCTCAGCTCATCTACACGGCGGGGGGCTACTTCCGCCAGTCCCTCAGCTTCCTGGAGGCCTACAACCCGCTGACGGGCAGCTGGGTGCGGCTGGCCGACCTGCACACGCCCCGCAGCGGCCTGGCGGGCTGCGTCATCAGCGGGCTCTTCTACGCCGTCGGCGGGCGCAACAACGGCCCCGACGGCAACACGGACTCCAGCGCCCTGGACTGCTACAACCCCATGAACAACCAGTGGCTGCCCTGCGCGCCCATGAGCGTGCCGCGCAACCGGATCGGCGT